AAATTCTCTTTCTACCTAACTCTGCTTCTTTGCCTATCCCATGGATGCTAATCTCAAGAGCACTTGCTAACTATCTTCCTGAAGGTCCTTACCCATCTCAAGGTCTGCTTGCCAGGATACCTAACCCATAGCAATGGGAACCAGGAATGGGCTGAGAAAGCAAAGACTAAGCCAAGATTCTGGAGTGGATCACCTGCCAACCAGTTGGCAATGGGTGTACTTCCCTGCTGAGCCGTGAGGCATAAATAATCCTGAGAAGCAATGCTGCTGTGATCTCACTGAGTTAGTATAACAGTGGAAGGAAATGCACTAGAAGGTGCAATGTATCAGGAGTTTGAGAAATACGGAGACAAAAAAGGACAATGGAACTGGATGGTTACTGCTGGAAACAATTTATGCTCCAGAAAGAGTAAAGAAAAGTTGTAAGTTGATTATCAACAAATTAAAGGCTAAGAATTACCTTTCACTTCCAGTATGTCTAAAGAAACTTCTAGCAAAGTTTTCCTTCTAGTCTTTTTGAAGGAAACAACTACAAACTCTGGAAAAAAAAAAAAAACAGAATAAACAATGAACTCAAGGCAGGATAGAGAGAGCAAAGGAAGCAGATTTTGGAGGGGAGGTGACATTGTGAAAAGGGGAATGGCATGAGGTGAGTTTCTTATTTTTATGATTCTATGTTTAAAGTCAGCATTACACGGTTGAAAACCCAAAGACTTTCTGTTTTTAAGAACCAAAAGGCAGAGTTTGAAGAAAAAACCACTGACACCAGTGAGAGGAAATGTTAGGAGGAAGAGAATCAGAGAGGTAGAGCTCCAAATTCTATGTATATATACTCCACTGAGAGCTCTGGCTGGTCCATGAAATACATTTGTGTGGGACAGACTATAAGCAGTTCAAATGAAGATAAAGGAATTGAACTACAAGAATTTACACTGCCACTAAAAGACCAAGTTTTCCATTTGAATCCAGCAAAAGATTATTGTTACTACAACAAAAACATTGACACTCTTTGAAGGGCTATGATAAAATTCAGAGTCTCGACAACATTTCTCAATACCCTAGATATAATCCAAAATTCCTCAATGTATGAAGAACCTAGAAAAGGAGACCTATTTTTAATTTCCTCATATTTGTTTTTGTTTTTTGTTTTTTTTTTTT